TTWAWTTAGTCTATAGAATATATGCTCTCAAGGTTGTTTTAGCTCAAGCTTGCATCTATGTATATTGGCTGTTGAGTGATCAGTCCAACATTGAGATATTCTAAATGACAGGGACTATGTGGGATTGGAATTCTTATCAATTATGAATAGTGCACGAGGTGTACATGTGATCAGGGAGTGCGTTTCTATTAAACCGCGTCGGTAACTGCTCTACKGAGGCGTTTGTAGTCGATGATATAAACCCCGCTTCTATTGCTAAATGATGCTCTCAATATATATTATTKCTTCTGTTAGAGTGTAKCAATTWTGAATGCAGGCAGCATAAGGACAAWATTGGTTATGTCTATAGTTACGATTCAAATATACAAATAATATTTTAAGTATTAATAAATATAAGTGCGAAGTGATATGAATATCAGTTTTAAAAAGTTACATAGAGTATTTATACATGGTCGCGCGAWAATAAATAYGGATTTTATCTTCGAGTGTTGAAAAGATCTCTCACGAGTGAGCGAACGCGAAGCGAACCAGTGAACGACTATGATATTCAGGGGCAAAGAAGCTTTGGTTGAACATTATTTGTTTGTTTGAAAAAACTTATCATGCTGCACATACTAATGTTTTTTTTTTGTGAACAGCTGCAGTCAAGAGTTGATATCTTTATAACTTAGTATATTAGACAGCGAAACCTTGCATAGGGACAATAGGGACAAGACGGGCAGACGTACCYGCCAAAAACAAACAAACAAAAAATATACCGGCGAAAAAATATATTTTTTAGAAGCATTATTAGAGAGGTAATACGATGCAGTTTCGTAATCAGTAAGTAAGTGTTGTATTTTAGGACCTCTAGGCATTGCGCAATGTCATTAATCAAATCAATTTTAGAGCTTTTCAATTTAATAACATTCATCAGGAAATGAAACATTATTAATATCGTCTAGACGTCCTCTATGACGTCAATATTATTTTTGTTCATTAGCATAAAGATTGCATTATTATCCAAAATGACCTCTAAATATCAAAGAAACTGGCCACAATAAGCTTTATGCCTTCACACTCAAACTGTTATAGATTCAAATGACCATGAGCCAGATTTTTGTACTGCTGTGGCCTTGCTGTTTTCTGGCCTGGCGCATTGCATTATTATCCAAAATGACCTCAAAATATCAAAAGAACTGGCCACAATAAGCTTTCCTTGATTATTTAAGCTCTATAGATGAACTACTTCAAACTACATATGGTTTTAAAAACTATATTGAGTTTTAAAGAGAAAATGAATGTACTCNGTAGAAGCAAAGTGCGGCTATAAAATTCATTTTGGTCGCTTTTGAGGCATCAAGCTATTCGTCTTAGTTAACTAGAAAGAACTGTTTAACTCTCTTTTCTATAACTTAGACTTGCGCTCACGTTACGTTCTTTGAACGAAACTGATGATATTTTCCCGTATTCTACCGGATTGTAAAATTGTTAATAAGCTCATAGATTCTAAACATACTGTAAACCCATAAAAACAATTGATTTGCTGTGAAATTTCCTAGTAATTATTAGTAAATTATGCTTTAAAAAATGATTTTAGCATGTATTCGAAAAAAGCCATTATTGAAAGGCAAAACAAACCAAAACAAAGTTGCGACTTTATGAGGAAGTGATAACAGTTTTTTGGCCGCTATTTTTCCAATTCGACTTCTCTTGTTTACATTTCCGAAAAAAAGTCAGAGCGTTAAGCAGATCTCCTGAAAGAATTTAAATCTTCTTGGGAATATAGATATATATATATCATAGTAAGCATGTAAATAAACAGAGCAATAATAGTTGATTAATTATTTTAAAGCTTCATGCACAAACAATCAACGATTCACTATATCAAAAAAATAACATATAAAAAAGATAATGGTATAAAGAGGCATCTATAGACATGAGTAAACAGGTTATGTGCTAAATAAAGAGCACTGGGTTATTTTAAGAATGACGAATGATGGTCAAATATCTCTTTCCTTATTTACTGCAAAATGTATATAAAAMGCACATTATGACGTCAAACGTCTTTAGAATCTATGAACTCGTTGACCGCAAAACGCGGAACTGACGTCGWTGAGCTAGTACCATATCATATCAATTCCTATTAATTCCTGTACGGCGTGCACATGTAACTATTAGTTCCCCTTTCTCGATCCTTCTCTTCTTGATCTTGGAAAGATTTATATATTTGCTCTCGTACAAAATCAGTCAAAGAATCAAGCATTTCTTCTTGTTAATTAGACCTGTACGTCAATTCGATTGATATATACGCATAAGCATAAATAAACATGGCATTTCTTTTTTTCGAACTACTGCAAACCTTTTAAGTATATATATCTCTCTCTCTGTTTGGCTACTCCGTTACTTGTATATTAGATCATATTTCACGAATAGGGGAAATAAAACAGTCAAAGTGACCATATTTTGAATAGCTCTACCGTATAGACAGTTRTAATAAAATGTTATCAGATTCATTTTTATGATGGGAAGGACGCGCAATGTTTGTAGTCTATTAGCACACATCACTGGTCCTTCACATAATTCTATGGAAACCAAACACAGACTCAGGGAACTGATTATCAATAAGTTGTTTAGCATCGAAAATGGACATATATTATAAACACAACGATTGTTTCTAGGTTTATGCAGTGCAGATGACATGGTCGGATGGTCAAGTTAATGTAGTTTCTCGACGCTACAGCGAGTTCTTCGATCTTATGGTAATGTACTGCATGTACTATCGATAAATTTACATCCGTTTGGTTCACTGTTCAAAAGACGYGCGTGCATCCAAAAACCTTTGCGCGAGATTCTTACATAACATTTTCATCATATCMATTATTGATCATGCGCACTCCACATCCATTAAACTATCTAAAATCCGTCAGAGGGCGACTTTCAACGACAGATGGGAAACTGATAATTGCATCACATTCAAAAACATTACTTTCAAATTAGCACAAGTAGGAGTTTCAATATGGAACAAAAACACATAAAAAGTTGTTTTTTTTTTCTCGGGAGATGATATAATACTCATAAAAAAATAATCATTTTTAACAGAAAAAATTGACAGAAAAGTTTGAAGAAAGTGGGAAAAAAGGCAAAGAAAAAATTATCCCAACACTTTCAGGTAAGACTTTTCTTGAAAAAAAAATTGTTAAGCAATCTGTTTACAATGCAGTTTCAACCTGGGAATAGGGGTAGTCTTTAATGATCCTAAATATGGATTGAATCGATATCTTATCTGAAAATCTAGCAACAATCCGTCCTCATCAAGATCGGTCCCCGCATGACGTCTGTGTTAATTATAATAAAAAATAATGCTTTATGATTAAGCTATCTGTCATATATACAATTGTAGGAAAGAGAATGGGCTTTCTTGGTAACAGTGCAATGAAAAGACTTGACTGTGTTACATCATTCACTAAGGTAATGTAGGCACAGTACTATTGCTTTAGAATCATTCATTATTATCCTCTATTGTATCCTCAGTATAAAAGTKTTTTACTACAGACTAATGCCACACAGATTTTTGATAAAGGACAAACTGAAACACCGCGCAAAAATAATTTAAAGAATCCCAACCAACCACAATACAGCGCGCGCTCATGTTATTGTTTACATGCGTAAATGCGTCAATCGATCATACAGTAGATTATAGATTGATAGTATTTGTGAGAAACACGTACTWATTTCTGTCCAAACTGGAAGGATAGAAGAGGATTCGCGCTTAATTTAAGAAATCCTACGAATCCACCTAAAATCGCGTTTCGGCTCACAATTTACTGCAGTTGGTTACGATTTTTACAGCCAAATGGAGAGCAACCATACGATCAGTTTAAAATTAAAGATTAAACATAAGCCAAACAAACGTCTGAAGTGGAGTGTATAGGCCTGTTACATCAAGCTATGTGCATRTTAAAAAACACCCCGCTGTAGTTAGTAAAACTTCTGATGACAGCAAACACATTTGTATTTCAGAAACTCTTTCTCTTGCCACCACAAATATCGCAGAGTCAAATAGTACACGATTTCTTCAAACCCACTTTTGCAGACATTCGCAGTTCACGAAGGTAAGTCATAAAAAGCCCAAGTTTTTGATTGAGAAATGCCTTTATCATGCATTATGAAAAAAAGATTCCTTAAGAGTTTTTAATGATATTCCATATAATTTGAATCAGCGCAATAATTGCAATATTCAAGAATTCATTGGCGWGATTGGTAATTAACACAATGGCATTTTAATTTTTACACATAGATCGACAAAAAGAGGCAAAAAAGGTCGTCTTAACAACAAACAGATGAAAAAGAAATTAGTAAAACGTAAGTGTTTGGGGAAAAGATCGTCCTACAYACTATTCCTTACTGACAACTGACTTTGTGACTCTTGATATAGTAATGAGTATTGCACTTTTTTCCAGAGCTGAGTATCACTGGACCTATAGCCTTTGAAGAGTACTATGCTATCGATGATTTTAAGAAACAGACAAAAGGTGGTCTTGACTTGAAGAAAGGACAAGTGGTTGAAGTCATCGACAAAAATGAAAGTGGTAAGATATAATCCACGAGTCTTCATGTACAAAACACACATCAATTGCGGATCCTTGATTTTCATCAGGGATGGGTTTAGTTCTTCTAATTGGAGATTTGCATTTAAAGTGCTACTTGCATGAAAATGGCCTTATTTCAAAACTTCAAGCAATACAAATATATGACTCATTTATATCTATTAAAAACAATTGCGGAAAAATACTTGTCTTGGCATTATCCCACATCAGAGAAATTTTGATTCAAAAGATGGAAGAACAAAAGGATTGAGTAGATGACGTCATCTACTCCAACATTTTTTGCCCAAATTATTAAGGATTTGCATGAATATTTTCTTGAAATCTGTTGCTTCATGATTATTACACCCATATGGATAGGTCTATTTGATTTCCAAGTCTTTTCTAATGTTTCGCAATTTTCGTCCAGGTAGCCCTTTAATTTCATACAATGCCACATAGGAAAAACAAAATACGTTGACGCATTATATGAGTAACTATATAGTCTTATGGATGTGCACATCCAAAATGCATCCGATATCCGGCGGAAACACTACAGTTAACATCAATAAAACCCCTGATTCCAAACTTTATCCAAGTAAGATGACTCAATCGGTGATTAGAGAGAGTGACCAATAGTTTTTGGATGGTGACATTATAATCATTAGAGTTGCACACTATCCTAATCWGCGGTGCATCCAGAGTTTTCTTCAGAAGGTTTCAGGGGCACGAGGATACACCCGCACAAAAATGGTCACAGATATGCACATAGTTTTAGGAGAATTTGCTTACTCAATACAAAACCATCTGAATCCGTCCATATCAATACTGTGAACACTGYACAGAAGAATACCTGCGACGCGTTATATTTGTATTTTTTCAAAACTCTGAGCTTGTGACTATTCATGAATAGGTTGGTGGTTTGTGTCCATCGAAGGGGAACAGGGATGGGTTCCAAAATCATACCTTGAGCATGAAGACCGCGAACATGAGAACAACAGTTCAATTACATTTGARCCAGGCACTGGTAAGYCGACAATTAGAAATGATAATTTTGTAATGATTTATATGATCATAATCTAAACGATGAGAAAAAAAACATTTCTTTTTAAAGCTGATTTTAGGGATGATAATATAAATGCTGGTGTGCGCCATATTTATATAGAATACCCTGTTTTGGCCTTTCCATAACACAGCATACACCTTTGCCATAATAGCCGCCTTCTAATTAACATACATTTTTAAAATTTAGAATTTTAGTAAAAGTAAACTATGAGCTGATAGGAACCTGAGCAAATAACAACATATAAAAGTTTGAAATGAAAATATTAAATCTGGTGARGTTATAAGAATTTWAAATATATCATAACACCAAAACGAGGCTATAAAGGCCTTGGCTGAAAATTACATACRTTTCTTTGTATTCTCAATAGACCTCTGCCGCTTCTACGTTATGTACCGTATACGCAATGCATTGTAGGACATGTTTGCGACAAAACATGGCGGATTTCTTTTGTTTTCTCTTGAAACTGATCCCACAATGCATTGAAAATCAAGTAGTGACGTAAAAGGTTCAGAAGTCTATTCGCCATAAATTTGTTCGCATTTTATCCAGGGCTGTAAGACTCTCCAAAAATGTTTATTTTTTATTTTTTCACATATTTCATATTCAGAAACAAATAGACAGACTTTTTTGGTGGAAAATTACATACATTTCTTTGTATTTTCATTTCACCTTAACGTTTTTCCTATTTTGTCCAGAGTTCYAAAACGTTACAAAAATGTTTATTGCTAATAGTTCAGTTTGGTGTTACAGTGAAAAAATATCCATATCTATCTTATTTGGTAAAAACACAATTGCAGCCATTATGGAAAAGGTGTATGCACTCACCACAGTTTGTTTTTGAAAGAGATAGTATAGCACAAAAGATGCCGTTGTACCATTTTTGGAGACAACCTCGCTTCGTTCAACACGCAAACAAAGCGAAAATGACCCGATTGTTCATACGAAGCCAGGGAAAAAGTATTGATTGCATTTCTCTTACGATACAGGTGAAATTTATGTCACCACCAAGAAGTACAAGGCTCAGCAACAAGATGAACTGAGCTTTGATGTTGGTGTTCATTTACAAATAATTGAAAAACACAACGATGGTTGGTGGAAAGCAACGTAAGTAGATTAAACTCACGATGAGATTGGTTAATAATCAGACTGGGCTGGCCAGCAGCTGCGGAGTATTATAAAACGAATGTAAATGTTCAACCTTCTGGTCATGTATTTAATAWTTTGCGGTTTTACAATCAATTTCTGACTTTCTTCTGGATAATATTGAACTGGGTAAATTCATTCACTTTAGATATTGTGGACGCGAAGGCATGGTACCAAATAATCATCTGAAGCTGATTGGTCAAGCAAGMAAAGAAGACACACATTCRAGCAGCGAGGCGAAAGCTGAAGACACTACAGGTAATGTGCCAAGGCATAAACTGTGCTAGCTTAAAGGGACACTGTCAATGGCACGCATGCGCGAGTAAACTTGAAAACACTAGGCTAGTGTTTTCAAGTTTATGACTCCACGTTTGCGCGACATAAATCAGATCGTAAACGTAAGCAGATCTAGAAAATTTCAAAGTGTGTAAAAGCACCACAAAATGATTTACCTCGAAGGTTATACTTTCAGAGTCCGTTAGAGGTGAGACTGTTACTGCGCATGTCATCCATTGACAGTTTCCCTTTAAGAGAGTGTTTTTGTTTTTAAATATAAATTGCAACAAAAGGGGCTCTGTCATGAGTTGCGCATCAAGATCACAGACGTTCAAAAAACATTATATATACTGGGGAACTACAACAACAACAACAACAACAAACGTTTATCGATTAATTATGTTACTGGCTATCATATACTGTTAAACATATAATTAAGTTTATCAAAGTAATGACTACTATGAATTGAAATGAGTGAAGTTGAGTTAGGGCTTTTGCCGTCAACTCAACAAGAATATAAATTCATTGAGATCGTACACAAACRCGCAGTTCGTGACAGCACCTCTTTAAAAAAAAGTACATTAATTCAATTGGCAACTATTTTTAGGAGGAGATAAAAAGAAGATGGAGGAAAATGGCAAAAACAAAGTAAGTAGGAAATTACAATGTATTACTAAGAAAGTAAACCTTAAACTGTCTTTCATATTAACATAGAAAAAAWTTCATTAATGAAAGMTTGCTTCCTCCTCCCCTTTCAATTGTGAAACRTTGTATTAAAACAATGYGCYTTTTCGTAGGTTTTTATTAGAAACAGCAGTCGCCAACAATCAAGGAGTGATATTGATGATGATACTCTCAAGAGGCTCCGTCTATCAACATGCACKGTACCAGAAGAAAATGGCACTATGGACATGTCCAGMAGSAAAAGTGCTGCTGATGTACCCAAGATACATTTACAAGTCAAAAAGTCTTCRGATGGCGGATGGGTACCACAGGACCACGTGAGCCGCAGTGCTAGTTTTAGCGATGGAAGAAAAAACGGGACAAAGGTGAAAAAGAATGCAAGCTTTTCTGGAGGTATATTCAAGTCCAAGGCTAAAAAGGCTGAAGATCGCTCAGTATCTACGCTTGCAGATATGTTTTTAAACGAGTTTGTCATGTCCCGTCGCAATTCAGCCCCACAAATTCTACCTTACCAACCAACTGAAGCCAAGCAGGAATTTCCGAGKGCAGTCTCATTAACAGTGCCACAAAATCTAACAGCGCCGGCTGAAAGTGAACAAGAGYTGTCACCAACGTCTCAGCACAAAAAAGTCAAAAGGACGGCACCAATTCCTCCTCAAGATGGTGCAGGTTTGATCCACAGTAAGGCAAAGTCCCTTCCAAGAGAACTGTCACCAAAGCTTAGCAAAAGACGTGAAACAGAAGATTCCAACACCCCATACCATAAGCAAACACACCAACAGCGGCCTAGGCCATCTCTCCCCGATATGRACATAGGAGAAAAMAATCAAGAATTACAAGCTACACCAGATCTTAGGGAGTGGGAAAAACTCAACGATCTTGACGAGGAAAGCAGCGACTCGGACGAGTCAATCGAAGATATCATCGTAACCTATGAAGACCTTGAACATGAACAGACYGAAGAAAARGATGTCCGAAAAGACAGTGGATTTAGTGACAGTTCAACACTTCCACGATATTCAASCAAAGTGTACATCGCAAAAGCGGACTACAATGGCATCGAGGATAACGAGGAGATAGATCTATCCAAAGGTCAACAAGTAGTGGTTCTGGATAAGATCGAGAGTGGTTGGTGGTTGGTTGAATCAAATGGGACAAGAGGATGGGCACCTTCAAACTACCTGGTAGAATTACAACAAGATCCAGAAGCAGAGGAAGACAAGATAATCACTAAGGRASAAAAAGAGGAAGAGACTGCTCCCTCTTCGACTTCTGACAGTGCTTTTTCTGAAGGCAGTGAATTGGCAAACAAGAAGTCAGCTCAATCAACCAAGCAAGCTGATTTCTACATTGCAATTGCCAACTACAACGGTGTGAAAGAAGATGGCGAAGTCAACCTAATCAAAARCCAGAAAGTGCTTGTTTTGCAGAAGACATCTGACTGGTGGTTGGTGGAAAGCGAAGGTGAAGTGGGATGGGCTCCGTCAAATTATTTGGAAGAAATTTCGAAGGACGAAAAACCTGATTATTATAACGAGGAGTGTCGCGAGGTCCCAGATGTGGCAGCTCTCCATCTTTCAAAAGGTTCTCGATTCGAGGTGTTGGATGCCCACGAAAACGGTCAATATGTGTTGGTCAGGGTTCCAGCCAAAGTTGGCTGGCTTCCCATGTCATCTTTTGACGAGGAGACATTGCTTCCACACTGTAAAACTGATTCTAAGTAAGACATCAATTGACTTTCAGACATAATCAGTCTGAATGGGTAACACAAAGACCTTTTGTCACTAGTGATTTAGGTATAGCTTTGCTTTGTTTTTAACTATGAACCGCCATAAGTAGAAGTCGAAAAGTTCCTTTATCAAYGCAAGTTGAAGAAATCTTAAAACATACTCGGTGCAGAACAAGCTCCAGCACTTTATGAAAAGGGAGGGATTTTGAGGGCGTGAAGTCTTGTAAGAATCGAACGTTGGAGGCGAGAGGAACTAGAATGGGGCCGGGGGCCACGGTCTTCTATCGGGAAAATTTTAAAATTGAGATCCTGAGACAGGATTATTCAGGAATTATTCAGGAAAACGGAGAGTCGCGGCCCCTAGTGGACCAACTTTAAAACAGCAGGCTATTTTCGAGTCGACACATGTTTCTGAATATTGACACCATTATTTTGAATTGTGTATTTTCAAGATATTTTGACATATGCTACACTGCAGCAATAAGTGGCACTGTCTATCTTGATGGTCAAAATATCTCGTCTTCAATATAAATTTTAAGCCCTTAACTATAGGTACACCGTTTTCAGGTGCCGATATTTTATGAATAGACAATATAAATGCCATACTTTATAATATTTTTAATAAAATTGTCAACATGTCTCAGACTTTGTAAATTGTTTCTCGAGCTCATGAATAATACAATGAAAAATCACTTCCTGAAAGTTTCTCTTGATACACCGATCAAACACTCGTCCTCATGTTTGATCTATTTGATTAACATAAAACCAGGTTCCATATCTACAACTCACTATAATATTACAGGCAATCATTGGGTTTCCTATGTAGGGACAAAAACCTGACCGTGGAAAGAACTTCTTCGCCRGAAACTCCTGGGAAGTCTAGCCTCTTCCCAAGTTCTCTTCCCAAGTTGCCCAAAGAAATGCAATGCAATGCAATATGGAATAAATAAAATTTTGCTATGAAGTCTAAAATATCCATGCCGATATTACCGGCACTTGAAGAAAGCTATGCAATAGAAAATAATTATTTCACGAGTTTAATCTAGAAATGACCTAATCTTACTTCTATGATAGAAAATGACGACAATGCTAATATAAGTTACAGAGATGCGAATTTATTCCAAGTTTCTGTCCTTTTTTGCATTATCTTCTTTTGTCTTACAGCAGAAACCGTTGCATCGCGACTTCGATGTTCAAAGAAAATACTTGGGATTYAGGTTTTTCTGCGACTYGGGGGMGGAGCTTGATACTAATCAGCCAATGATTGAACGAGTTTTCGAAAAGCTCCGCCCCTCAGATTGAAAGGGAGAACAAAATCCAGACAAACTTCAAAACAAAGAGGTCGCGATGCAACGATTTCTGCTGTAACTAAAAAGTATTTAACTCGACTCATCGAGCCTCATTCTGAAAACTATCATGCGGATATCAGAATAATTCACATATCGCTATTCTGAAATATAAAATCATGGTGCATTGTAGTCTAGCTTCAGTACAAACAATGCCATATTTGGCAGCATGAACCAAAGATGTTTGCACTGAATATAAACCAGAATGCAATGTAAACTGATATCTCAGAAATTGCCTATGCAAGTACAACGCAACCTAAATTTGTAATAATATAAAAAGTTGCCTACTAGGGTATAGTACTCGCACTAACGTCTGTTACTCCTTGAATCCAATACTCCGATTTCGAGTTCTGGTTTGCTCTGTGTTAGCCTCAAAACCACGCAAAATATTCTTTTGTTTCATTGATGGCCCGAGAAAACGCATGGAATTTGAAAAGAAAGACAATGGAATTGATTTGAAATCTCACACTTTTATTTTCACAATTAGGAATATTTTGCGCACGAATGAGGCTAACACAGAGCATTGGAGAATTGGAAACTGGATTATTCCAGATTCATACCCAGTCGTTACACTCTTCTTTGCGCGCCGTTCAAAAGGCGAGAGAAAGGACTGGTACGAGTCTAATTCTTTTGGTAAAATCATCAATATAAGTTGTAGTTCATCACTTAGTGTTGGAGGAACGAAGTGGTACCTTGACCCGATCACTAGGTGTTCTGAGTTTAGACGGTTGAGGTATTTTACTGTTTTCTTTATCACGCGRAGTGTCTGTGCTCTTTGATTTARGTCGCACTGGTGCCTAGAAAAATGACAATAACAGCAATGTTGTGCTCAGTCCCTTGGAGATTGCACGGAAATCACAACACAGGAAACCCGAAACTAACCTCTGGTGCGACAAATACGGAGTTTTCTTTATCTTCAATAATATTATCGACATTGGGTTGAACATCACCACTATCGCTGACTGTGTCTCTACTTAAATCAAACACTGGGATGGGATCAWCAATGCTTCCTGTACTCGACACACTTTCGGCCTGAAAACCACAATGAAATAACAGTGATTTTAAAATAGTGATTTTAAACCAATCACGAGCAATAGATCATATGAAAAAGAGCATGGCTAACATAACGCCATACTTTAATACATCATTTACTACCCATTGAAAGAACATATATGAGTAAGATCTCAAAGTTTCAATGCTCTAACATTTAGGACCGACCAAAAATTACAGGCTTTTGAAATTGCAAAGGTTTGAGTGAAAATAAGTGTTGAGACCTTATCTGCCTTGTTTTCACGTTTTTGGTATACTTCAAATACTCGTACATGTAACTCTGCTGATATCCAACATTTCAAACTAAAACTCCGCAAATTTACTAGTCTAGATATACTTTTTCATATGGTGAAAAAAGATATTTTTAAACATGGATCATTTAAGGTGCTCATTCCCAGCCTTCTGCTCGTTTTTCATATGGTCAATAACGAGTTCAAAGCAAGATTACGATAAGTGTTTGTTACCTGGAAGACTGGTAGTTCTGGTGTTCTTGGAGKTACGTACGTCTCGTGGAATCTCGCTCTAAGTGTATCATGAGGTGAAGTCATCTTGAGATCATTAGGATAAGAGTAAGTCTTTCTTTGCGGCGTGGTACCTAACAGAAGYATAAACGTTTCAACAATGGAGTGACAGTATAGCACTTATTGTGATGATCGATCCTTTCTCCACAATCCATACATTCCTTTGTTAATTTTAGCATATTTGAGCACCTTTATGTTCCTCAATATTCACCCGTGGGATTTAATTACTTTTAATGCGTTCTTTAAGACCATATACGTCACGTGGCGATAGAGTACTCAAATGTGACGTCACAAAAATACTTTTTTCGAATTTTTGTTTTGTGACGTCATCACTTGAGCACTCTATTTTTGCAATACTAAAACTTGAACCCAGTCTCTGCTCAGACATGAAAGCTGGTCTGACATTGATAAAATGTCRATTGAATCCCTCCTGAAGGGGTTCCAGTCCTCACCGGTTGGCTGGTCTTCTTTGATATCATTGGTTAAATGTCGAATAACACGCTGGCTACAGTCATGAATTGTGCTTGACATATTACATGACCAGTCAATAGTGTCACGTGACTGGTCCCTTATTCCTTGCTTTAAAGTGGAAACTGTTTCTTGCAATTCGTTCGTATGGTCTTGCAGAGTTTCTTTCATTTGACTTTGGTTGGATGTCAGGATTTCGTTTGAAGTCTACAATAAAATAACGATGTTTATAATTCAGTACATAATCTTTAGCACAATCATTGTTCGACGAGGAGTATGAATAATCTTTGTTTCAGGCTGAGCTTGATATGAAGAATCATTTATTGACTGGCTAATGATTATGGCAAAGATTTATCCAGGCCAGAGCCGAGTGACTGTTATCGGATAATATACGAGACACAAACCTTGATGAGTTCTTGTTGTTCAGTGTAGCTAGATTGGATCATTTCTTTGTGAAGTTGGAAAGATTCATTTAGGCTCCTGTGCCATTCCTCGTTGAGCTATAACAGAACATACCAAAGACATTACTTACAGTACAGAGTAGTGTTTAGGATGCATTTTCTGAAAATWTATTTCACGATTTACCAAGTTGCAGTCCTATTTTGCCTATCAACTTTGGAGTTAAATATCTTTTCAGACCTTCACTTTCATAGAAAAGTGCAGATTTCCGTGAAAATGTCCGGTGACAATTCAATTTTTTCTCTTTTCATTAACCGTGCCCCGTACTTTTTTTTTAGGGAAGCTATAATTTCATGTACAAGAATTTTGAATGCGCATCCTACAAAACACTCTCTAAMATTGTCATTACCTTGTGAACTTTGCTTGTATTATTTCTCAATTCTGATTCAAAAGTCTCACACTGTTTCTTGGTGTTTTGAACATCTTCAGTAGCCTGTATAGAAARGTAACGCAATCATTATCAGAAGGGAGTTTTGAAAATGTCCTCATTTCAATAAAACGCTAAATAACAACATGTAGACTGCAATAGAGTCAGTGAGTATTCCATGAGTATTTTGGTGTTTTCCTAGGCTTTTCAAAGTGCCCTTGTAACGGAGTGTTTCAAATTGCAGGTCTTTTCACGGAGTAGCAAACTTCAGAACTGTCTCACTGTAGACTAGTAGTCATCAAACCAACTCTTTTCTTTTGTTCGCTATTGATTATTATTACAAAATATGTATTCATTCTCTTTTTACGGTCAAAAAAAAAAAAAAATCTACGAATAAGAAAGGGAATAGGACAATTTTCAAAGAAATGTGCAAAAATCAAATGAACAACTGGATTCGTTACGACTACAAAGTGTTAAATCCCCAGCATTCACCGGGGGCTGTGTTGTCAGGGTTTGACTGATGCTCTACCGACTGTGAATAAACTGGTGCGCTGTTTATTATTATCATTTGTCTTCATCATCGTGAACATTACTGCCATGTCCAGTTTTTTTTYTCAGAACAAATTTGATGCAATGTAAGTTCTGTACCTGGTCAGTTTTACTCTGGAAATCTTGGATATTTGATGTTGCAAGGTCTGAACATCTTGTGACAAATTGACTAGCACAGTTATGAAGAGCATCAAATTGACTGAAACAAACAAAGCAACACTAATGGTTAATACCATAAAATATTGAATACATTCACAATAATAAATTTACCTTTGGAATTCTTTATTTGTTGCTTCTTCAAAGTCCTGTGCTTCCTTCATTTGACACTTAACCTGAAATTATTTTGCGTACATTTTCAAGATTATTAAATTGACATAWATTTTAACAATCTATTAACATAGATTAAGTTTTTATTGTAAGTACGCAGACGGAGTGCAGATCTGTTATCTTTTGCAGGCAAATAAATCATTAAAAGCGAGTGAGTGTTGGCGGARAAAACGCAAAGACCACTTGGTGCGTATGTTGTTCTTCGTCGAGAACCTACAYATCTTCATTTACAACGGCGCCGGAATGCGAAGTATTAAAACCGCCTTTTACTGTGTGTCTCAAATCAATRCATGTATGCACTTATGGCATTCATTACCTTATTCACGTGACCTTGTAATCTGGACGTTTGGCCTTCAAAGATGGTATCAAGGTGTGAGGAAATCTGTTTCATGATATCTTCTTTTACCAACTAAAACAAAATTAGCAACAATGTCAAACGATCAATCAATCATCTTTTACTCTTTATATTGTCAATCAAAACATCATTTCTTTCTTTCATTACAAATAAAAATAACCATACATGTACATCATCCACAGAACATTCAGATCTCTTTTGTTTTTCACACCATTCTTCTCATAGCATAACAAGGATCGAACCACAAGTTGGAAATGGATATTCTACTTCATCTAAATAGCTAGATTTTTCGTATTAAAAAAAAAAAAAGGCAGTCTACGACCAATTTGCATGCCTGTTGGTCATTTCACATGTACCAATCTGTGCCTTACTCTACTAATGTCTACACCTTTTGCACAGCTTGCTCTTCTTTCAGGAATGAATCAGCATCTTTTGTAACTTCATCCAAAGTTTGATTCTGTATATAAGGCAAAATTAAGTCTGTACATTAAAGTCTACATTGACCTTATATATGGTTCATATTTCAAGCAACTTTAGTGGTTTATAGAGCTCATCCGTACTRCTAAAYTGCATTGTTAAATGCAGCCAGGAGAAACAGTGCCGGCGCATACCAAAGTGCACCTTCCAAGAAAGACCAATTGTATTAGATTGGAGACATGAATTGTACCTGTTGTATGCCGTGATTGCTCACAATCTTTGACAAGCTCTCCAGCAAAACACTTTGACCTTCAATGTAGGTTCTCACTTCTTGATAGTAGAGGTTCATCTAGAACAATGTAGCTGGAATTCAGTGAAGGCCTTATTTGGACTGTTTCAGCGCGCGCATGAGTTGGTGATTTCAACTCGTTTTGTGTTGCACCATTCATGATTCTAGTCAAAATTCGAGCATGTTTGCTAAAATCGCCTCAAAATGTCGCGAATTAAATCTTCTCGTGTAAACTACGCTACTCACATCTCTGAATACGAACTTAGTTGATTAGCAACTTGATTGTGATTTTATCATYTAGACTATGAAGTACCTTTTCTTTCATAAAAGCCGCCATCTCTAACATCCCTGTCATGCTACCTTTATAGGCATCCTGCATGCACTCAAAGTGAGGTGATACATGTGATTCCTGGAATACACTAACTGTATCTGATATCTCATCCTGAAGCAAAACAAAATTGAATTTTTGAATACTTTTGATTGAGAGAAGCCTGTACTGTGGTTCATGATGATGTTTTACTAGACACCATAACGGAATGGCAATCTTTCGCGCAATATTCAGTCGTCCATTATTTGCACAACAGTCAACCGTTGATAACTCTTGTTGTTAGAGTCTTAGCGATATGCCTATTTCTAAACGACCACCGAGATGATTATTTGTCTCTTGTTCAAGTTGCAAACTTGTCGTTTGTATCACATTTTCAATCAGCAACTACTATTACCTTCTTCTTTTGACTTCTTGACACCAGTTCTTCAGCCCATTTCATTGTGTTATCTCTTTGAACCTTTCATGCGAAATAAAGCAAATAAACATACATGTGACTGTATAAAAAGTAAGTAAGCAAAAAAAAAGTAAGCCTGAAACTCTTATCACGGGCTAATCATCCTCACCTGAATCAAATCGCCAAGATTGTTTTCGTTAGTCTGCATGTCYTCAACCATTTTGTCGTTGTGTTTRTCCAWATCTTCATTCCATTGTTTGAACTTTGCCACAATGAAATCATCTAAAGTCATAATTATAATAGATTCACATTGCCCAAACAGGTATATCATTTGATGGTCCAAACCATGAGTGGATTAGAAAACACAAGTGCTGTGCTGGATATTCCCATTTCAAGTTCTATTTTCAGTGTTACTACTTTTTTACAAACTACAGAAAACATATAAACCGGTACTTCATGCTTATTAACAAAATAGCTTATCACAAGTTGCTTTGTGCAAATGTCCATCGTTTTCTGATTGCCATATGAATATCAAATGCTTTGTACATCACAGGAAGCATGGCCATTATGCATTTTTGAAAAACAAAAAAAACAAAAAACAAAAACAGTAAATTTCTACATTATGTATACTCAGTAATCATGACAATTGCTTTGCTGATTTTGAGTTGGTTGTATTTTTTATGGCGTGGCTTAGAAGTATACACATTTGATTAAAATTTGCATGGTTCCTAAAATTTTAAATTACTTTTTGTACAGGTATTAATTAATATTTAAATGACTTATAAAAATAAATATATTTGTTTCCAATAATAAGTACCTATGTCTTGAGGCAGCTGTTCAAAATATCCWGAACAATTTCTCTGYAAAGCTGCAATATTTGCCTCCATACCRGCAACCATTTCACTAAAGGAGCCTTCAAAAGTCTTATTGACAGCTTTGTTGTGGTCTTCAACACTAGTTTTCCTTTGTAATTTATCATGAAGGCTAGTAACATCACTRACACTGTCATTAACAACACTTAGTAATTGTGATGCTTTGTCATGTAAGATGGATTCCTGTTTGGCATGGACATCAATGAGGAAGTTGCTTTCRTCTCTTTCTACTGTTGTCTTCTTAAGATTCGTGTTTGTTGTTTGCAGGGTTGCCATGGTAGTTTGGAGATTCTGTCTTGTGTTGTGWAGTTCTTCACACCTTTGCTCTAGCTCACACTGRGTGTCAGAAAAGAGTTCACTRACTTTCTTCATTTCAGCTTCAATAGATTCAATCTTGGCTTCATATTCAGTGATCAGGGACGTTTGTGACTGAATCTTGGCTTGCATTGCACTGCAGAAGACAATAATTACTTKTTTACCTACAGTTGATGATGTTCAACAGTCTATTTAGTAGAAACTAGTTGAACAGCAAAATCTTACTTATAATTCTCCTCAGCAAGAAATATGCCATTCTTTTCCCTGGCAGCATTYAGATCTCTTTTGAGCTTTTCAATTTCTTCTGTGTACTCCTGGCAAAAGAAGTTCATGTACATGTATATAAGAAATATTATTGATTGCTCTTCCTTCCATAAGAATGTTCAATAAGGTTTTACTTATTGCACACTGTACGTACTGTTTTAGCCTGCATAGCCAGGCATTCCTACTGTAGCTGCTCCAAGCTCCAAGAGAGTTTGGGTCAGAGTCCGAGAGAGTTTGAGTTGGTGAAACCCATCTCCAACCAAAACTCTCACAGGGCAGCTAGGAAGGCAGCCTATGCAGGCTAGTACACTTTTTGCAATGGAGTTTGAGTCTATATTTGTGACGTCATCACTAAAACTCCAAGATTGTGCCCCCCCTCCCCAGGTCAATTTTGGCTGCGCCACCCCTGTTTTCATGGTCATAATGTATGCATGACCATGGCTATTCACTGTAGGGTTCCCATTACCTTGATAAGAGCTCTCTTGGTRAGCTTTTGGTTGATTTCAGGTCTGTTGGTGATGTTTTTGGCTCTGTGAGCATAGTCAAGGGTGCTAAGAGTTTCCTGGAAATAATTMAATTATTTAAATGAAAACAGTTTAAATTAAGAGTGCATAGGRTCTATAACATTAAAGTAATATATTTAAGCTGTTTGAAATTGATTTTTGAAACCAATGGCATTTCAAAACCCCTCAAAACATCACGACGGTGGAGCCTAATACCTTGCTGGGTATAAGGTAGACTCCTGATTTGCAAGATCCAATGAGTGCAAACAGCAATACAATTTAAGGGCAGTGAGCAAAAATCTATTCAAAGTTCTAATTTTTCTGATTACCTCAACATTACATACTGCAGGAGAGATAGTTGCAATGATGGAGGTCTTTGTTCGTCCTCCAAGAGAGTCTTGTAGCAATCTTGTTAGTTTACTTTCTCTGAAAATGCATGTGGACATTCAGCTATGCTGAAGCAATTATATCATATCATAACTGTTTACAGTATTTCAAAGATTGGGAAGCTTCCATCAAAACATATCTAGACATAGTAATATGTAATTAATAAAAGTATAACTTAAATCACAAAAATAGAATGCTGTATAATGACTACTTAACAGAGGTACTTAGAGCAGAAAATCATTTGGTGATCAATGCGCCATCCCATTATGAATTTTTTCTTTGAATTACTGTACAATGCAGTTAAGGTTCACTGCTGCAAGTTACTTTAAAAAACATTGGTTTAAGCTGTAGATTGAACCGTTTTTTGTTACCTATAGGGGACATGTGGAGCTCTTTCTACCAGCGATGTAATGACTCTCCCTAGAGTAAGAAGACTTTGGTTGATAGTTCCTGCCTCTCTGGCTCTTTTATCAACAGCTCCAGACCTTCCAATGTTTTCACTTCCTGCCAGATCCACCTATGTCAAAGATGAAAATACACTTCATTGATTGTATGTGAACATACTTGAAAACGGAGCAGAAAACAATCTAATAATCATCTCAAAATTTTATGTTCAATGAGGTACTGTATAGCATGACAACTTGTCTACAGGGATCCCAATAGTGCAAGTACTGCAGAGGTTTTTAAACTTATTGCCGGATTTCAAGCCGAGTGGGGACTGGGCAAAATCCCCTAATTGGATAATCACGAGATAAGACTTACATAGAAAGAAAGCCCTCGTTGAGAAATGCAAAATTCCAAAATCTGGCGTCAATCAGTTCAATATTGAACGAGTTACGGCCTTTCAAATATTCTAAAATTTACAAAGAAATGTATGGGAAGCCGTGAATGTGTCCGCATTTTGACCATTTTC